TTGTAAATAGAAAGGGTGTGGACCATGAGATGCTAGTGAAACTTAGCATTGGATTCTCGCATCCCCTATTACGGTTATGGTATATATCCCAATTTCTCTGTTGATAGATATAAGATTTGTATATAAACATAATATTTTGATTATGTTGATTGGAATGGAACTTTAAAGTTTATAAACAATTTTAATTATGATATTTTCTTGTTTTGGGAACATTGAGTTATAGATTTGTTATCATTTTTTCATATGTTCAATAAACACACATATGATTTGAAATTTCATATGTGATCTACATGTAGTAATTACAAGGCAGCAAGTCCGATACACTTGGAAAGGTTAGGTATTCCGGATACTCGTAAGTTATTCATATCTTAAGATTATTTTTTTGGTTTCTATGCATTGAGATGTTAAAACTTTACAACCTCACTAAATTCCACTTGCTTAATTGGTTAAGATCGGTTTATTGCATTATTGTACTAAACTATCTTGACAACTCCAAGTTGACTTGTCAAAGCTTAATGGTGAAGAGAGGAAACCAACCATGGAGATTATTAGTGATGCCTATGAGAACTAGGGTTTCTTTGAGGTACATACTTGGAGTTTTTTTTTCTAGAATTGTTTTCATTTTATGCGACAAAGATAGTCTCTAATGAAGTATTTTTAGAACGACTTGTATATTATGATTATAATTAATATACTAAAAATGTTTTTGATGTGTTTGTAAATAAAGTTGGTGAACCATGGGATATCTCATGATCTCTTGGACACTATAGAGAGACTCACAAAAGAGCATTAAAGGAAATGCATGGAGCAAAGGTTTAAAGAAATGGTGCCCAGCAAGTGGTCTCGAGGTTGCTTAATTTGAAATTGATGACTTGGATTGGGAAAGCACTTTCTTCTTGCGCATGTTGAAATCGATGACATGGTGGCCAGCAAGGTTTAAAGAAATGGTGGCATCATTTTACTCTTCCAAGATGATAAGGGCGGTGGCCTCCAACTCCTCAAGGAAGGCCAATGGATTGATGTTCCACCCATGAATCACTCCATTGTGATCAACTTAGGTGACCAACTTGAGGTATAACTATATCCACATAATCCTTCTTGACCATTACTTTCCTTTTTTCTAGTCACTTTCAAGTTTCAACTTGTGGTTTTAAGGTGTGTGAATATGTAGTTTTACTCAAATCATGAATAACGAGGGACTAGATTTTAATAGGAATATATATCATGTTAAGGGAAAACAACTTTAATGTCAAGAAACTTTGGTTTCATGGCATCTTCTCAAATGTCATTTTGGCGGCTTTGTTTAAAGCAACTTTTCCTTTTAATGAGAATGACATTGTTTTATGTTTGTCATATAGGTCATTACCAATGGCAAATACAAGAGTGTGATGCATCGGGTGATAGCTCAAACGGATGGCACCGGGAGGTCATTGTATACGTCGACTGCGGTTTCTTGTTATGTTTGCTTATGAACGAGTGCACATGAAAGGCACTAGGGTGCATGACGAGTACATCTCCTTGTTATTTAGCCATCCAAAGTATAATACGAATAAGATCTGGATTGGTTGAAGAGTTCTTGCAGTTTGACTTGGGGATTTGAGAGTCTCGCTCATTTAATTTCACTTATGTCTTTTATATACATATGTAAAGGTTGGTTATTTCTTTGAATGTCTAGAATATATATATATATTAGTACTTGTCTTGTGTCGAGAAGACAATAGTTGACCAACAACTTGATGATGAAATGTGAGAAATTCATAAGCTATTTTTACATCCATGATGTAGTACTCAAGTGTAAACTCTTTAAAGCAATTAGGATAGAATTTGTATCTTTGATGGTTAGTAATCTTGGAGATCTCAATTACTCTAATTAAAGTTTGCGTGGTTTTGGTTTATTTAAAACACTTCTTTCTTCCTCCCAAGAAAAAGTATTTTTATCTATTCAATCTTGATAACTCTTTTGGTACTGAAACCATTTCAGAATTGTCTTATTTGAGTAGGAGCTTGACAATGTAGTGCAAGAGCTTGAAAAAGTTATCGTTGTAAAACTCCTGCAGACAAAGATCGACAATGCCTACTTAGGTATCATATACTTTTAATCAAATAATTAACATGTTTCTTGATCTTAAAATATTTTTAATGAGTTTTTATATGTATTTATATATATATATATTTTGACTTTCAAATTATGCTTTTGATAGGTTCACAATTATGGTAATGGTCAAAATGCTCATTCTCCTAATCGCTTATCACAATCAAGTCATTTGCCGAAATGAAACATTTTCATAAAAACATGATTGTTTGTTTTTTTTTTTGTAAACGTTATCCACTTATTTTTAAACTATATTTGGAATTTTGTTTATGTATTTAGAACAAGTGTTTAATCCTTTAGTTTTTTTTTTTTTTTACTTGTGAATGTTTGACTACTTTTTATGTATTTGGAATTTGATAATTACAAATTTAAGAATATTATGTAAGCTATATAATTTTTCTTTTATTTGCATTCAACAAGATTAACTTTTTATTTATTTATTTGTTTTTTGACAAAATATAAAAAACAATTGAATTCAAAGGATGAATTATAAAATTCGTATAAATTTGGAATAAAATTCATTTATTCCGCACGAATTATAAAATTTGGAACGTAGAGGTGGTTATAATCACCTCTACAAATTATGAATTTTATAGTTTGGGGCGATTTTGAATTTGTAAACTTTCGGAACATAGAGGTGGTTCTAAACCGCATCATAAATTACGCGTCAAAAAACTCGACGATAATATTGGTATCGTAGAGGTGGTTTGAATCGTCTAAAAAAAAAAAAAAATTGAGGCGGTTTGAACCGCCCTAAGCAACTCGCCTCGAAATCCTCGGTAGTTGCCAAAACCGCCCCTACACTATAGAGATGGCGACATTACGGGCGGTTTTGGGACGATCCTCAAAACCGCCTCTATAATCTGTAGAGGCAATTATAACCGCTTCTAGAAGCCGGAAAAACCGCATGCAATACCTTTTTTTGGTGTAGTGACAAATCTCGTATTATAAGGGAATGCAAAGACATACTTAAAATCTATGAGCTAATTAAACATTGATTGGTATAAATAATTCTAAAATAATACTCAAACAAACAAATGCATGAAATTTCAAATGGCAAAATTTCAATTTCTTAACCGGAGGTTTATATGTTGTATCCATTTCATTTAAAACTTTTAATTTGTTTTAATTAATTCTATATCTTTTATTGTTATTCCAATTAGCTTCCATATCTTTTATTTTTACTCTACTTCCTCCTCTCGTCCATTTCCGTCAGGAATATTAATGAAAAATGTATGTAAATTTTAATTACGTCCACAAGTTTGTAAATTATCTCAATACCGCCCTTTCTCTCTCTCTCTCTATATATATAACAAATTAAGATTGATAAACAAAAACAGAAAACTTGGGAGATTTGGTTTCTTAATAAATATTAACATCCTACTAACTTCAAATCTCGGTTAGTAACATCAATTTTTTCGTTTGTTAATATTATATTTAAATAAAATTAATATTCATATAAATTTAACTCTAGGTGATGTTGAATTTGCCTTATCCTCATTCTATTATTCAAACTATAGCAGGGTTTTTTTTCAGGATTCTTTTTCAAGATTAATTTTATAGCAAATCTTGATGAAGAATTGAATAAAATATGTATATATATAATACGTTAGTGAGAAAGTGAAGAAGAGGAAACAATAGTAGTTGTTTAATGTTGTAGTTATTTTTTATTTTATTATGTTTGTATTGTTAAACAATTGGTAGATAACGTTGATGAAAAAAATTCTTTTTTGTCATTTTTATTTTCTGAAAAATATCTTTTTTTTTTAATTTTAATTTGTCATTCTTATCTTTTTGGTTATATTGATATATTCTACTAATTTTGGAGATGACATGAAATTTGCACGCTTGCACACCTTTTTCGTTACCATTTTTGATATAGAAATAGACAAACATATATGATGGAATAAATATGAAAAATACGGAACATGATTAAAATAAATAAAATATTTAGGAAAAATCGATATATACAACATATGACCTTCAGAAGGACCAATAGACATTTACTGAATTTAAAATGATATGGTATGGTGTCAGAATAAAAACCATAGGATGGATTGTTCATTCGATCTGTTAATGTTTATCTGAGCTTCTAGGAACATTTGGAAATTTATGTTCCTTTTTCATTTCCAAATTTACAACACAAGAATCATGATATTAATCAGTACACTTCTTCAGGAAACACAAAAAATTTCATAATAAAATCAAATAAATTTTAAAATAACGTATATAAAACTAAGAAAATTTGGTTTTTGTATATGGATATTTTCAAAGAAAAAAATTATAAAACTTGTTCAGAGATTTATTCTCTCGTAACTAAAAGTTAAGTAGTACATCCGTAAATCAAACGCCTAATATTGATGCAATTTTAATATATTAAAATGCATATTTTAAAATACGGTACAAAAAACTTAGGTTTAGGGATGAAAAATTATGTTGCTATACCCATATATATTATTTGATTATGGTTACAATCAAACGGGGCATAATCTATCTTAAGAATTTCTTTCCAAATAGTGCATTGAAAAAAGACATTTCATTTAAGGTTTTATCATATGGCTAATTAAATATAGACTTATAAAGAATCTAATATTGGACATGTTAATTGAGAAACTAAAAACATGAGATTCTAACAATTAAAAAGGCAGGAATACCGAAAATAAAAATATCAAGGACGGGTAATAAACAAAAGCTTTAAAGAAGAGTTCCCATGTTTTGGATTTACAGAAATATTGTTATCTATATTAATTTAGAGGTGATTTCTACCATGTCCAAATGAAAGATAAAAGAAAGAAGATGCACTTGAAAATCAAGGCAAATCCTTCATTTCAAGATGCATCTCTCTACAAAGTCGTTTTCTTCTTCTTCTCTAGAGAAGAAGGGGAGGGGGGCAAAAAGGGAAAACAAATTACGGTCTTCGAATTTTAGATGTAAACCTCCCTCCTTCCCTCTCTATAGTTCTTTTCCATCCATGCCACTTGTGTCCGGCATTCATGAGCTGCTTGAAAATGAAAAGAAGGAAAGCAAAAATCATTATGAAATATTGTAATACACACACACACAATATTTTACCAAAAAAAGAAAAAAGAAAAAAAGAAGCAAATAGATAAAGACGTGCAGAGACAAATTAACATCAAACAAAGAACTAAAAATACATAAAGTGAAGAAACCATACCTAGATTTTAAGAAGATGGACCAACACTCCTACCCCCTCACTTTCAGATTTTGAATGCTGATGGATTTGTTGTGTTTGCTGTGGCTGAAGCAAAAGCTGTCCCACAAGCTGATTGGGATGGGGCTCTCCTTGTGGTTGAATCTGAAAAGTATTGTCAACAGTGCCAAGAACCAAAGAAGGTGACATCTCAGCGGCAGCAACAGGATGGATCTGATTAAACCCAGTAGCAACAGCTGAATTATCCGGCTCAAATCCACCATTAAACCTCACGATTTCTTGCTGTTGCTGCTGTGTCTGATGCAGTTGTTGTTGCGGTTGCTCATAAGCCCTTAACATCTCTTGCTCTCTTGCAGCCACCACAGCAGCCATTTGTTGAGCCTCGTAGATTTGCTGATGATGGACATGATGGTGTTGATGTTGATGAGCCTCTGCACTCATCCCCATTTGTCCAACAGAAGGAATACCCATCGTTGGCATCACATTATGTTGCATCACAGTTGAAGAAGAAGGATTACCCATGTGTTGGGGCTGCATCACCATAGGTAGCATTGCTTGAGGCCCCACATAATTAGCCAATTCTTTCTTAGCAGTATAAAGATCATTCTGCAGTTTCTTCACTCTATCTTGAAGGATTGAAATTAACCCCACACAGCCATAAACCGGATCACGGAGTCGTTCCTCAGCTTCAAAAGCAAGTGAATTCACGGCATCTTCACGTTGCGCAGCATTGAGCTCAGAGAGAAGTTTAGCAACATTACTCTGACCAAATACCTTGTGGACACTCGCAAATTTTTGAGGCTGATCCGGTGGAAAATAAGGTGCCAAAATACATTCTTGTGTGCATTTTCGCCTCAACGACTTGCATGCCGCACATGGAGAGTTTGAAGACGACATTTTTTTCGCATGGAAATATGGGATTCACGAAGATAAAGGTGAAGAGATTCGGAGCTTCGTTTACCAATATAACGAAACAAATAAAAAAACTGTATTTACAATGGTGGGGAGCGAGACCATTTAGATAGAGAGAAAGGTATCCGGCGTAGGGTGACTAAAATGGGATAACTATCGATCCGATCTTTGAGTTTCAAAATCCCAACAGACAAGAAAGAGAAGAATGTATGAAAAGAAATGCAAAATTTTTTCGTTAAAAAAAAAAAACAGAGAGAGATTTTGAAAAAAGAAAAACAGAAATGATAAAAGGAGAGACAAGAGGTTATGTTATAGCCTGGAATGAGTCATTTTCACATGAGGTGAAATTTCTGTCGCTGAGATTTTAGAGAATTTGAAGAGGTTAAATAATAAAGAGGTAGAGAGGTCCTCTTATACTGACCAAAAATTCAATCATTCACTGAGTTACCTCTTTGTACTTTTTTTTGACAGATTAGAGTTTCATTTTTTTCCTTTTTTAATTTAATGCCTTTGGTGTCAAGATTTGAGACTTTGAAATGTTTCCTAATTAATCACCATTCTTGTATATCTTACATTATCTGTATTGTGGTAAAAAAGGATAGTTAAATATTCAAGATTTTGTCAACTTATATCAAGTCAATCATATCCTAAAATGTTAATTTGAATGGATTCTGTTGTGATTTACATCTATATAGTATTAGATTAGATTTGAACATAATGTTTTTTGTGTGATAATCTAACTATTTTTTCATTTTAGCTACCAAAAAAAAAAAAAGATTTAATCTCGATTGATACGAAAGTTAGTTCGAAAATGTTGCAATACATATAGATATAAAAAAAAACTATATTTTTTTTCATTTTTGACAAAAGAAACAAAAGTATTAGATTAAATTTGTAGAACTACTTTTCATTAAAACCTCCAACATACTAAAGTTCCTATTATTGTTTCTAGTTGATAAGTGTTAATTAATCTATTAGCTTTATTTAGACGAATCGAACTCGATCAAATTAAAAAATTTAATCGAATCGGATCGATCGATCGATCGATGTCTCATTAAATTTTTTTAATAGATATATCGGTTACTTATTATATTTGAAGTGTGTCATATTATAATTAATCTATTGTTTGAAAATTAGATCTATATAATAATTAAATGTTTAAATCTTAGAATACATACTATGTTACTTATTATAGATGGTGCATGTTATTGTTTGATTGATTTGTTTGCCAATATAATATCCTAATGTTTTTTATTTTTTATTTTTTTTGGTTAAACCCATGCAAAGTACACCATCATGTCCATCCTTCGTATTCTATTATTGTGATAGTTTGATTTATGTTAATTAGGTATATGAAATATTATTTAAATTAAAAGATCAAAATAGATGAGAATTTAAGGATCGAAAAAAGCAATTGTGTAAGTTGATTGTAAAAGAAACAATTAAGTGCTAAGGCATAAGCATGGCTTAAAATTTTTCTAAGCATGTAAGTTGTCACACAAAATTTGGGTTATATTTTTTTTCCTAATTTTATCCATTATATGATTATTATTTTAGTTAATCCTTTTTATTATTAGTTATTATTTTAGTTTTTTATTTATTTTTGTCCTTTTCCATTTTTTTTCACTTCATTTTATTTTTTGTGTATTTATAGTTATTCATTCTATTTTAACACTTATTATTATTATTAAAAAAATGAACAGAAACTATATATATATATAAAATACAAAATGGAAGGATAGATTTAATCAAGGGGCATAATTGGATTAAATTAATTCAAAATTTGAAGTTAATATGGCTAAATTGAATAAAAATTAGAATGAATTAAGGGTACAATAGAATGGAATCGAAGGACACGATTGAAAAATTCAGAAAGTGGGAAGATTGTTCTATCAATTTATGATTGAGATAGTGGATGTTCATTCATTGTCCTCGCAATTGGAAAACCAAGAATGGTTTTGATCCTTCTTGGTTTTGTAGTTGAATTGGATTCCTTTAGGCAGCTTACCAATCAAGTCTTTTATGGTCCATAAGTTTCACTCGCAAATAATGAAGAGAATTAGAATGTTAGGAGATAACGAGAATGGAGAGAGAGAGAGCCTAGATCGAATGATTGGTAGTCAAGGAAGGAGAGGGAAAATTGATTTTAGTTAACTAAATTGAGTATAAGTAGGAGTTTAAAGGTTAGAGAAGGGTGATCGAGAGAGAAAAACAAAAATCGAATAGAGAGGGCAAAAGGAAGAAATTTGGGCATTTGGTTTTTTGAGTTTTTGAGTCGTTATTCTTAGTTTACGGGTTTCATTTGAAGTTCGAGTTTTTGGATGAATACTTGGGCTTACTCTTAATTTTTTGGGTTTTGTTCTTGGTCAGTGCGGGTTTGTTCAAGCATTCTAGGTTTCGAGAAACACTAGAAACCATCTCTTTTAATCTTTTGTGAATCCTTAATTATCGTAACAATAAGCATCATATTGCACTACAATTAGCAAATCATTCCATCAATCATCCTCTATCATTTTCAAGTAAAGAAAACTCAAAGCAACCCTACTATGCCTTTCAATCTCATTCCAATCATCTAGGCTTTCCTCAAGTAACCCTAAACACTCTATCAATAGTTAATCAATCCCAATCTATGTTTGTTTGAGCAAGGAAACTTGGCGGTGACATTGTCATCGATTGATTGAATCCAAGGATTCAAATCCATTCAATGGACCTAGAAGAGGAAACTCGTAAAGAGAATTGGTAAGCTTAAAAACCATTTGCGATACCTTGAAGGGGGTGAAGTTCCAATCAAGGGATTAAACCTATAAGGCAAGTAGCAATCGAGTCATTTAGTCCAAAAACGAAGAAAGAAAGAAAGGAAAGACAAAAAGAGAAGGAGAAAAGAAATAAAGAAATAGAGAAATGGGAAGAGGGCTAAGTTCATCTTGGCTCGAAAATGAAGACAAAAAATGGATTGGGTCTAGCCCGACCCAAAAAAATAATAAATGAGTTGAGATGGGGCTACCTCGGTCAAAAAAAGAAAAGAAAATAAGAAAGAGGATCGCCTTCGATCCAATCCGAGCCTAAGCCTAATGGGCCCAATAACCTTTTTTTTTTTAATCTTTTTCTAGGGAATCTTGCCCAATTTTTTCTAATATATGTTTTGTTTTATGTTATTTTATTTTCATGCCTAGTTTAAATTCAATATCTTTGAATTGTCGATTTATTTAATAGAAATGTTTAATTATTATTTTTTCTTTCAAGAATTAGAATAGATAATTAATTGATGAATGAATCGTTGAGTCTTCTAATTTTTAGGGACTAACGATGATTCCTCACCAATAACCAAAATAATAATAATATTAGGTAAAAAAAAACATCATAAGAAAAAATATGTAGAGTTAAAAGAAAAAAATATATAAGGAAAAATGCAAAAAGAAACTAGAAAAAAGAAAGAAAGAAAATCCTAGGTAAATAATAGAGAAAAAATGATAAAAATATAAAATATTAGAAAAAATTAACAAAGTCTCCTATTTGTTAAGGACTAATGTTAGCCAAAATAAACTACTTTAATAATTAGATTTTTTTTTGACATACCGGTTATGTCGAGACTTAAACCGAATCCGATGTTAAAATTACGTGACTTACGATAGAGGGATGCAATGATCGATTCAATATGATGCCATAAAAAAAATTAGCCTAAGGAATAAAAATTGAAGTTTGAATTGGAAATAATTTGGCACAAATTAAACATCTTAGGAGATAAATTTTTGGACTAAACTAGACATGTTACCATTCTTAGAAAATAGAGCTTTTGGGTGAATGATATTTTTCCAAAGGCATAACCATCTCCTTACCCTAGAATCTCTTAACCATTGCCCATTTTGGGTTCTTATTTCTTTCAATACTAGATGATGACTCTAAAAATTAATAAATAACTCATATCTCCAAAACACCAAAATTTTCTACAAAAAAATCTTAATGAATTTCGAAAGTCCTGCAATAATCGAGAAGCGATAGAATGACGACTACGTTGAGAAGTTAGAGTTAGGCCATAGGTTTAGTCTTTTTTGAAAGTTTATGTCCTTTATTTATGTTTTTCACTTATATCCAAGTTCTTTTTTCTTTTCCAAGTTTTTATTTAATTTGATGTTATTTATTTGATGTAATTTATTTTTCTTGTTTTTTAATTTATATATGTACATATTTAATTTTTTAGTCGGGTTGGATCCACTTACTTTGAACTATTGCACACACCACGAAGGGAGCATGCAAAGGCTCCGGATCCGATCTAAAGCCCCATTAGGATTTAGATAGAGAGATTCAGAGTCAAGTATGATGAAAGTCTATCGATACTAATCCAAACTCTTGTTTGGATCGAAACTCACCCTATGTATAAGAAATTATAGAATTACCTTTCCTTACCTCCTGGTGCATAAAGTAAGAAGTTGGATTACCTAATAGTAACCTAGACAGGTCCAAAAATTTAAAAAGACTTCAAGATTAGATAAGTTTTACTAAACCCTAGGAAAGCTAGATCCTATCTATTAGGGTAGACTCGCTAAGACATGAAATATTTTTGCACGATTACTTTGTTCTAACCTTTGTTTTGGCGAGGTTGTCATCTAAACAAAACATGACGAGAGAATGCTATTGAGGATTTTAGGATTGGATCAAAATGGGTTAAATTAGCGAAGCAAGGTAATGAAGCCTCATATCTTCTATCGAGGCTATAAAAAAAGGGCCCGTAAGCAATGAGTATACCATTGAAGATAAGTTCATTTAGAAATCGCATAGCTCCTGCTACCTTAGGTCCAAGTCTAAGATTGCGAAGAGTATAATAGGAATCTGTTTATAATTTAAATGTTATATGCATTATAATATAGTCTAAGTGGTTATAACAAGTGATTATTGTAATATAAATAGTTGTATTGTTTTTATCCTTCGAGTGAAAAATGGCTCTCTAAGTCATGTTTAGAATGTTTTACAAGTCTAAATTTCAAATC